CCCCTTCTACACACACCTGAACACCCTGCTCTCAGAAACCTGCCTTGACTCCACAACTCTTGCTACACTTTTCAGCTATCTATAACCAACTTATAACACCCCCTGGGACCCCCCACGTGACCCCCTTGGACCCCCCCAACTAATCCAGCTGGCCCTGGTGATGTGGATATTGACTAGTACTGCTGGTTAGAGCCACTTTCAACCACAGTAGACCCCCCAGCACTTCATCTATTGTTTGGGATTAGTGTGTGGCAACCTTGCTAGACCTAGTGCCCTCACAAGTCACCCAGCAAGATGAAAGAACAGCAACATGTATAGAAAGCTAGACAAGAAGATGATGAGGGGGTGACTGTACAATGACAATGGCATCAGATAGGAGAAGGACCCTGATGCTTCTCTGGTGATGTAATTATTTAATTGATATCAACTCTGTTGACCCATATTTCCTGATTTGCTCATTGTGTTACATTGTTGAGCTGCTTAAGGACAGTCCACTCATGTGCACGCAGTGGAGGTGGGTGACCTGGGGAACCCAACTTAGCTTTCCAAAAGAATGTTGTTTAAGTTAGCTATGGCCATACAGGCCAAAATACATGACCTAGCCCCACCAGGCTGGATAAACAATGAGCATGGGTGCTTCTAAAACAGAGGTACAATGAGGGGAAAGGATGGGGGAAGGAAGAGATGGGCAGGAAGGCAGAGGAGAGAAACAGAGCTAGATAATGCTGAGCAGAGGGTGAAAACACCTGCCCCTCCTTGGGCAATACTCTTTGTCCTAGATAGATTGCATTAAGCATGGTCGAGAACCGCATGACTTAAACTTCATGTTGCACCACCAGATTGCATATCCTGTGGAAGCACAGCTCCGCTAAGACTCCAGCTCAAACACTGATGAGGCTTAGTGCTTGGATGTCAAGATGTTGGAAGAGGAAAGCAAGTAACAATTGCTACCAGGGACTGGGGGTACAACTGGAGGACTGTGGGAAGACAGCATGCTCTTCTTGACAGCTTTCTTCTTAGGGCTTGGGCAATATGCTGGCAGAAGTGGGTCATGGGGATAATAGGCCAGCATGGGGTTGAAATCCTCTTGGCTGGTGGAGAGGATAGAGGAGTTGGAGGGAGGGGAGTTGGAGGGAGGGGAGTTGGAGGGAGGGGAGTTGGAGGGAGGGGAGTTGGAGGGAGGGGAGTCAGTGACCATCTCTTTGTTCATCCTCACAACTATGTTGAGGGATTCCAATGACCCAGCAGTGCCTGGATTGGGAGGTCCAACATCTACAGATGAGTGAGTACCATTAATGACAATACAGACCACTTGTACGTACTGACATCATCAGTATCCTCTGACTCTGAAACATCCACAACCACCTCAGAACCAGCAGGAACCCCTCCCACTATCTCCATCACAGCCAACAAACCTTGGTACCTGTAGATTAAGCATAAGACACATGCAGCAATGAGTCTACTACCAAATCACTTACAATTGTATGTCTTGATTGGATGATATGATTGTTGTTCTTAGTGGGTAGTGACAGAGACATCAAAGAGGGGCTTTGTTAGGGCAACACAGGCTGACTAAGTCTGCTCACCTAAGAGTGCCAAGAGTCTAAG